AATAAATAAGTCAAAAAAAAAAAAAAAAAGAAAAAAGAAAAAAAGTATGGCAGTCTATAGGTACCTGGTTAGGTAAGAGTTTAATTTAAAAAATAACAAGAAGTTTCTCACTACTAAGCCAGTAGCTGAAAAAGAATAAAAGAATGTTAATGTTGAATTGGTAGATATTCATCCACCCCAGGCTCAGGAGCTTTCTCCCCCCCATAGCATTCTGGAACAAGAGAGCCTGGGGCACTGCAAACACTCTGGTCAAGTTCTCATCCAAATACTACATTTCTGCTGAATTCTCTACTCTTTGAACATTACAACAAGAAAACAGCCACAGACTGACTGCAGAAGCAACTAAGCTTCAATACTTGGGCACAACCAGGGAAAGAAAAAGTGGCAAGCACTTGATCAGAGAATTAACTAAAACATTAAGTGTTTATTCTCACCCTCTTTTGATGCCTATCCTTATTTTTTGACAGAAAAAAAAAAAGAGCATACAAATGTGAACAGTAAGCAAAGTACATCATATTCAGGACTATATTCTGCTTTTGGAGAAAACAGAAATTAGTTATATTTTTCATGACTATTGAAATATATATGTATTCCCTTACCACCAAGCAACTAATGTGAAGAAAAGTACACCTCTAACAATATGATAGATAGATCCAAAAATGTGATAGATACCTCAACAGCCCCACAGGACTCATAATGTGGTCACAAATAAGCCACACACTCAAATTCATAAAAGCTCACAACTAGAACTTATTGTCTGATTTCAAATGTTGGCACTCACAATCCCCTCAAAAGACACAAAACCAACATGAAAATAAATCTACACATGACTCAAACCTTCAGCAGTACTAGCAGACAGCAGATATCATGATCCTTAAATTTCCTGTAACCAGAAGAAACCAAATTCCAAAAGTTCTCTCCACCTACCTGCCACTGTAAACCTGAGGGTGTGGAGAGTATGAAAGGGGAGACTCTTAAGAAGGACAACAGAGAATTAGTTTTGCAGGACATGGAAACAACCCAAGTGCCCATCAATACATGAGTGGATTAATAAAATAGGGTTTATGTATACCATGCAGTTCTACTCAGCCACAAAAAACAATGGTGATCTAGCACCTCTTGTATTATGCTGGACAGAGCTCGAGCCCGTTCTACTAAGTGAAGTATCACAAGAATGGAAAGACAAGCACCACATGTACTCACCATCAAATTGGTATTAACTGAATAAAAACACTCATGTGCACATATAGGAGTAACATTCATCGGGTGTTGGGAGGAAGAAATGGGTATATTCACACCTGATGGGTGCTGTGCATACCGTCTGCGGAATGGACACGATTGAAGCTCTGACTCAGGTGGGGCAAAGGTAACATATGTAACCTAAACATTCATACCCCCGTAATATGCTGAAATAAAAAAAAAAAAAAAGAAGAAGAAGAACAGAGGAGTGCGGAGGACTTAGAAAAACCAAAGGCAAAAGCATCCCTCAAAAGAGAAAGTCCAACATCTAATGCTGAAATACTAAATATGGTTCAGAACTTGAAGGTTCATAGCACCGACTACAGGAAAGGGGCTTGAAAGTAAGCAGGACCATTTCTCACCCATCAGACTGGCATAAATGAAAAGGTATGACAACACATTGTGTTGGCAATTCTGTGGAGAAACAAGCAGTCTTATACATTGCCGGTGTGAATGCAAAATACAGGGGAATTGTTAAAATCTCACAAAACTACACAGGCATTATACTTTAACCCAGCAATCTTACTTCTAGGAATTTCTCTCAAAAATATACTTTTAACAATATTCATTTACTATCATTGCTAAATATTGGAAAGTATTTAAACATCTAAGCATAAGAAATTGAATAAATAAACTACAGTATATACACATAATGAAGTATTAGGCAGAGGTAAAAAAAAAAAAAAGAAGGGCTCTATGGACTAATATAGACTGATTTCTAGGAAACAAAGTGAAAAGAGCAAAGTGCAAAAGAGCATATATAGAATATTACCTTTTGAAAAACAAAGAAGGGGAAATAACTATGTGTATGGTATGTGTATGTGTGTGTGTGTGTGTGTGTGTGTGTATACAGTCATGTGTCACTAAACAATGGAGACACATTCTGAGAAAAGCATTGTTAGGCAATTCCATCATAGTGTAACATCAGAAGGTACTTACAGAAACCTAGATGTGATAACCTACTACACCCCTAGGCTATATAGTATGGCCTATTGCTCCTAGGCTACAAACCTGTGCAGCATGTTACTGTACTGAATACTGCAGACAAGTGTAACACAATAGTAAGTATTTGTGCATCTAAACACATATAAACATAGAAAAGGTACAGTAAAAATACTTATCATAATCTTATGAGACCACTGTCACATATGCAGTCTGTCACTGACTAAAACTTTGTTATGTAGCACATGACTATACATGTATACATACACAAACACATATATATAAAATAGTGTGTGTGCTTATTTATTCATTTTTACAAGAAGGATAAACTGGAAAACAATGATACTCATTACCCAAAAGTGTGGAGTGAAAGGGTTAGGGAGGCACGGATGCCAAGGATACGGGAGGAAGTGACACCCATCTGAGCATACAATTTTTGTATAACTTAACTTTTGGAAACAAGTTAATCTTTCATATATTCAAAAAATAAAATAAAACTTAATCAAAAGGTATGTGGAGGGAACTCTTAAACTACTAAACCAAAAACAAACTGAAACAAGTGAACCCAACACTGTTCCAAAGGAATCACATAATCCCACTGAAAGGGGGTGAGAGAAAGAATCTAGGTCACTTATGTACACAGTGCTTGACTAAATACCTCAGTCTTCGGGTAAGGAGGGGAGGAGGAGCAAGAGTGACAAAGAAATCTAGGACTCCTTTTAGTGAGTTTTGTTTTTTTGAACTGGTATGGGCAAAGCAAATTTAAAACTATTTTAGACATACTTTAGGAATGGGTGAGAAATAAATGCATTGGTATTGTTGGGACCAACGATTCTTGGTGTGGAAGACGGGATATACATGGAACAGGACAAGGTAAGAAAGAACCCTATGGGAATGGACTGAAATTGGAGGTAACAGTGGGGGCTTATGATTTCTAATACATATATGTATGTGTTTATACACATATATGTATACAGGGCATGCAAAGACATCCCATAGAAATGAACACATCTAGGGCCCCACTGGTATCTAATACTATTCCCCATTGAAAAGAAACATGGTTCTTGAAGAAATGGCTGATTCTAGGACTGACACAGTGCCTGAACAAGATAAACCTTGAAAAACTTATTATGCCAGGAAGAAAGTAAGTGCTCAAAAAAAATGAAGGGCATGTCACAAGAACATAGGAACCAGCTTGCATGGACTCCTAATGCCCAAATTTGAGATAATCTAAGCATTCAAATAATTAAAGACAATAATGAAGAAAATATAAATATCTGAGTCTATCCTAATAATAAGTAGACAGACAAGAAAGGAGGGCTCTTGCTCCCAGGAAATTGCAAAATGCCTACTGGTAATTGTGGAGATGGTGCTGGAGTTGGAAAATCATTCTGCAAACATTATAGTAAAAACTGGCTCAGGCAAAAATGATTAACGGATGCTAAATCTAGGGGAAAATTTTGATGAGAAACAGGTATCTTGAAAGTATCAACCCACAGCTTGCTTATTAGTTGCAAAGAAGAAAATAGCAGAGGAATCAGACAACATTTGACCTGGTGATAAAAATTTACATCACCAATGAGTAACAGATGGACATTCTGTGCTGCCAGATGTGATGTGCTGAGACGAAACACAACATCACTTACAGAGTATTTTGGCCTGGATGCACATCTAAATCTGAATCTGAATATGAGGATATATCAGAGAATGAAGATGAGGAACGTTTAACTAAAAGAAGAGTACCATTTTCTTCAAAATTGTCGATGTCATAATAGACAATAAAAAGCTGTGGAAATGTGAGAAATTAAAGGAGACTAAAGGGACATTACAAGCAAATGTAATGCCTGATCCTAGATTGGAGGAAAAAAATGCCAAAAAGTAATGTATGCAAATTATTCTTAAAGTATTCGGGGGAAAAATGTTTATATACACACACACGCATGTGTGCATAAACACATGTGTGAAAGGATTCGGGAGAAAAAATGTCTTACATACACACACACACAGATGCATACACACAAAATGTGTGTAAGAGACAGCATATATGTGTGCAAATAATAAAGCAAATACTAGCTAAAAATGTTAACAATAGGCGAATCTGAGTACATGGGCATTCTACATACTATTCCTTTTTTTTTTTTTTTAACTTTGCTGTAAGTCTGAAATCATTTCCAAATAAAAGAAAGACTGTTTTAAAGTTCATGTTTACATTTTTTAAAAATCAAGAGTTGTTAATTACATCCAAGAGACTTAGGTTCTAGAGTTTTGAATCATTACCCATGTCAGAGATGGTACAAATTTATTATTTCAGTCTCTCAAAGATTTTCCTTGATATCTACTATGCCCAAACTATACAAATTCTTAGAGCATTTTCACTCTTTTCAAGCTTTGGCAGAGGGTGGGAGGTTAGCAAGTACACAAAGACAGGCAAACAGACATAGAGAGCGGGAAAGGAAAAAGAAAAGTACCATTTTAAACAAATGTAATAATAAAAAAATTAGGCTTTTAAAAAGTTCTAAAATAGAGTTCTATATCTTTAAAAAAATGAATCTTTACAAGATAGATGAAAATTAACCTTTCAAATAACAGAATTAGCTCTACTGAATGGTTAAAGGGCTTTGATCTGGAATAAACATGTCCAATTCTAACACAGCTGTTAAATTCAATAAATTATAACATTGAGCTAGAGAATAAAATTATTTCAAAGAATGTCATTTAGGTTTTGTGTGTATTGGGGGTGGAGGCAGGAAATATGCAATGATTATAATACAAGAATTCACAGGAACCAGAAAAAAATAGCTAATGTAGACAAATTATAAGGCAATGGTATAATGCAATATTTTTAATGTTTAAAAAATTCCTTACAGAAAAACTTCCAAATGTGAAGACCTGTCCATCCATTAAAAGTACTGCCGTGTGGTTGCTGCCTGCAGTGACTTGTGTGCTAGGGCCTGGCAATGCTTGAACAAGAGTGGGACATCCCCTGGGTTAAAAAAAAAAAAAAAAAAAATTAAGTCAATTTCTTACAAGACTCAACTGAAATAAAAAACAATATATAAACAATGCAATAAGGATAAGGAGCAGAAAAGATAAAAGACACGAATAAGAATATTCAGTAAATACTTATTTAGGTGCTTGGTAAACAAAGATGAAAAAGACATAGTCGCTGACTTTAAGGAGATCATTGAATAGATTTTCTAAATTTAATATGCAAATCATGAACATATAAGTTTTAATTTTTATGAAAGATTGGTGCTACCTTTATTAAAAAAAATCTGTTACCTTGTACACTGAATGGCATGTTCAAAATCTCTGTAAGTATTTGTTGGATGAAATAAAAATCATGCAATGCCCCAATAAGAATTCAATCCAGGAACCAGATGAAATAACTAATTTTATGGCCCTCTTTTTTAACTTTTATCACTAAGCTATAATTTTTTACCTTAAAATCATACTTAGTGAGTCAGAATATAGTATCACGAGAGGCATTACAGCAGTGGCTATAATATCAGCCTCTAGAGCCAGGCTGTCTGAGTGTAAATCCTGGTTCCCCCACTTAATAGCAATGTGACCATGACTTTGAACAAGTTTTTCATCCTTTTTGTATTTCTGTTTTCTCTTCTATATGGAATATAACAACAAGCAGTATCTACCTCCTAGGGTTCCTGTGAACAATAAAGAAGTTTGTGTGCTTGGATCAGTGTCTAGCACACTATTAACAATAAATGGTGATTATTATGATAAATGACATCCTACTATCTTTTCCTTTTATTAAACATTTTTAGTAACAATTATCTGTAATTAGAATAATAATCCTTACAGAATTAGTCCACATATAATAAGAGAGCTCTTTTGAGATAATATAATAATACTTTAAATTTTTTAGAAAATTACATAAAATATATTTTTAATGATTATTGAGACTGCAATGAAAAATGAATTGGAAAGGGGCAAGATTAGCAGCTGAAAACCTAGTTAAGAAAATTTCACAATAGTTTGGGTAAGTTATGATGAAGGCCTGACGTAGGAGCACTGCGAAGTGAAAGGAATGGTGAATTTGGCAGCTACATAAGGAACAGAACTGATTAGACTTGGCAGATAATCAATATGGGGCAAAGAAGATTTTCTGCTTAATCAACAAGGTAGATGGTGGTAATATTCATTTAAGCTGTGAGAATAAATGAGATCTAGGGAGACTATTCAAGAGAGAAAAGGAAAGATCCTAGTTTTCCTTAAGAGTCTCTTCTAACGCTTTAGGTATGGACAGATGAAGAAGAGCTCACAGACATCCAGGACACACCAGAGAGGAAGAAAGAATGCTGGGAAACTGTGGTGTGAGAAAGTCATTGAAAGAGAAGATTTCAAGAGTGGGAAATAAAGGTACATGCCAAATGCTCCAGGGAGACACACAAGTAACCACTTGATTGAGCAGAAGAAAGTCTCTTTGGTACAAGTTATCTCCACATTGCAGCAGACAAGGAGTTAACAGTGGGGTCAGAGAATATGTAAAATCTCTTTAAGAATCCCAGCACTAAAGGGAAAAACAAAGGAGAACCAACAGCTAAAGGGAAAATGAAGCTGAAGGAGAGGCTTTGTTCTTTTTAAGATGACAGAGATTTGAGGACTTTAAAAAATGAGTAAAGATAAAGAGGCTAAAGAAATAGGTAACAAAGGAGGCAAGAAACAGAAATAGATACCTAAGGAAAAGGTAAATAAGTTTCATAGCATGACCAAGACAGGTCTCTCTTTCATTGTAACATGAGGAAAGGAGCAGAGAAATGGTAAGGATGCAGGTAGGTTTTCGGGGTCGTGGGGTTTTATTTTTGTTGTGATGTAAATGGAGATCCTAGCTAAGAGAAAGAAGGAAATGGGTGAGCAGAGAGGTTGAAGATTAGAGAAAAGGTATGGTGGTAGCTGGACCAGAAATATCTATATCAAGAGTTTTCAACCTAGATCTAAAGGACTTCTAGGAAGTTCATGAGTGAGCTTCAAGAGATCTGTGAACCCCACAAATTTGTAAAAAAAACTTTTATGTGTATATTCTTCTACTTTTCTGGAGAAAGAGCCCATATCTTTCATCAAATTCCCAAAAGGTCTTAAAACCAAAATTGTTCAAAACTATACAAGGGGAAGATTACTGCTCATTGTAGAGGAATTGGTTGAATCTGGAAATTATATATCAATCTGCACAGGTATGGTGATTTATTTCTTTCTAGAAGCCTAACTGTAGGCATAGAAAATACAGACAGGTTGATTCATGCTTGAAGTTTTGCCATGTCCTCATAATGGGAAGAAGAGGGTGAAGGAAATTGAGGATACTGGTAAGTGTATAGGTGAAGAAACTAAATAGCGATCACTAACTTGTGTAGGAAATAAAGTAGAAAGGGTGAAAGAGTAAGAAAGTAGAGGGTTATATGGAATAAAATACTGATGAAGTCAAAGGCAAGTAAAGAAGGGCTACATAACAAAAGAAGAAATTGTCATCAGATTATAGATATTTAAACCTAAAGCTCTGCTAGATCCAGCATGGGGCCATGGAAAGACATCCCTTAATGGGGAAGCAAAGTGCACTTGATATAGGGTGTCAAGATAAGAACATTGCATGGGACCATTCACGTGGATACTGAAGTCACTCCCGACTGTAACAAGACTCAATCAGAGTAAGAAAACATTTTGAGTAGGATGCTAAATTTTCAGTGAATAAAAGGGCGGTGACTAAAAGGAAGGTAATAAAAGGAGAGTCGAACAGAATGGCCATGTCTCAAAAGAGCAGTTTTTCACTTGAAGATAGAGTAATATAGCTAAGAACAGCAGTGAAAAGGTAAGTGGTTATCAATTCTGAGGTACAGGGAGTTGTGGTAAATTAACAATTAACACTACAAAGGGCTACATGTTGAACTAATGCCCTCACAGAAGCATCCAGTTCAATTCAAACAAGGAACCGAAGGGAGAGTTCCTGTAACTGTTTACTTGTCTGCAGTTTACAAAGCACTTTCACATAAAATGTATCACTGATTATCAAATGATTCTATGGGTAGATCTGAAGAGCTTAAAGGGGAAAATTGGTAGCAGGTCTTTTAGTATATAGTTTTTGAACTCTTTATATGATATTAGTTCACTTATTAAATTATTTGGAAAACTGAGGAAGAACAGAAAAGAAAAATTATTTGTCGGCACATGTGTGTGCACACTGTACATACACTATATTAATTCTACAACAATCCTATGGGTTATGAAAACTAAAATGTAGAGAAATTACAGTCACATAGCTGGTAAGAAGTGAAGCAAAGATCTGAATCTTGCCTACATGGTTCCAGACACTATGATTGCGTAGGTTATTAGTATAGGAGGAGGATAGGATAACAAGAAAAAGATGAAACACTCAGAAACGTTATAGGAATTATCAAAATTCTACTGAAAAAAGGAGAATAAAAGCATCTAAACTACATATTTTCTCCCAATTTACTGAAAATGGTAAAAGAATTTAGAATTCAAAAATGTAGAAGCACAGTAAACAAAATAAATAAGTCAAAAAAAAAAAAAAAAAGAAAAGAGTGTTGGTAGACTTATGTCATGAGTGAATGTATAAAAGCCCTCATAAGCCTTTTGACATTCACTGTAAAAGGCAGCAGAAGTAACAGCTAACATTTATTGAGCATTTACTATGGGTTGCCGCTAGGCTCTCTACTAAGTCAGTCACCTATATCGTCTCCCTGAATTCTCACAGAACTTTCTGAGGGAAATAAACTTACTCCCATTTAATAGAGTAAGAAACTAAGACACAAGAAGACTAAATAATTTGGCCAAGGTCACACAACTACCAAGTGATAGAATTAGGACCCAATCTAGAGACTGAATTCAGTCATTTTGGCAATACAACACTTTAAATAAAATATCAATATTTTTCCATATTCATCATCATGCATACAATATTTATCTTACATTAATCAACACATTATTGTGTGCTATACAATAAATTCCAGTTAATAGCATTTGATTACTAGAAACTTTTCAAAAACACCCTCCAACTATATACTTTATTTCACTAAATATCTGTAAATGCTTTGCTTAGTGGTAGTTAATACATATGCTTTAGGGGCTTTGTTTCTCTTAGGACTGTTCTTCTATATAAGTGATCAACTCCTTTGTGAATTAATAAAAGAGTTTTTGGTTCCTGCTTTCCAAGTCCCACACAGAGCCAAACAGTGCTGAAGACAGCAGTGGTCTTGATGAATTTCTAATCCACTAGGCACAACTTGTAGGAGTGATTACGCTGTGTTACACAGTTTAGCTCTGCCTGTACACCACGTGTAATTAGTCTTCCAGTTACAACACATTTAATGGAACCAGGAGTGAAACGTTCCATGCTGGTAAAGAATGACTTTGGACACTTAAAGCTGATCCCACCAGCGTTTAATCTTCTTAATAAACTCTGATGTTTTGTTTCAAGATTAAAAACTATCATTATTTAATATTTCATGAAGCTGATAAATTCAAACTATTCAAAGTATTGAAAAAAACTACAAAAAAAAACAAAATACTGAGCATATCGCTATGATATTGTCACCTGAGGAAGTCTGGCCTGAAACTGCCCTATGTCTCTCCAGGCTTCCAAATCAAAGAATGGTGTTTAATGGTATAACTGGGACCACAAAGCAATGTTTTTAAATAACCTCTTCATTTTAAAAGCCCTCATGAGCACTTTTTCCTTTCAACAGCCATTACACCTCCATGTGGTATGGCAGGATGTTGTGTTTATGCAGCTCATTCTTCAGAAGATGGACATAAGTAAGATAACATAACCTGAGGGCTATGGTTTGATTATAGCATGATTTTTACTATTTCGCCTCCCAATCAATCAAGATCATGAAATATAGCTATTTGCCAATTATTTTCTTTGGAGAAGTACTCTTTCTGCTGCACACTTGACTAAGACCTCATCTTGTCTAACTGCAATGCACGTTTCCCAGTTTATATGGCTCATAAAACAATCACCAGCTAAATAATAACAACAACAATAATGGCAATAATGATAGTAACAATAAACACTCTTCTTCTGGGTCATAAGTCTTCAATAAAAAATAGAACAAAAAGTTACTAAGTTCTTCTCCACACAAATTACAGTCGTCCCTCTGTATCCTCAGGGGATTGGTTCCAGAACCCCTCATGGATACCGAAATCCACAGATGCTCAAGTTCCTTATATAAATTGGCATAGTATTTGCATATAACCTATGCACATCCTTCTGTACACGTTAAATCATCTCTAGATTATGTTTAATACCTAATATAATGTAAATACTGTGTAAACAGTTGTTATACTGTATTTAGGAAATAATAGTAAGAAAAAGAAAAATCTGTACATGTTCAGTAGGCCTAACCATATTTTTGATTCATTGTTGGTTAAATCCATGGATTTGGAACCCACGGATATAGAGGCCAACTATAATTACAAGCCCTGATTCACTTCTGCATATCACTCATGTTATTTAATTTTAAAACAAAATATTTGTTGGCTTCTAACACCTGTGATAGTAATTGCTCAACCCTTCAAGCCACTGATATTCTGTCACATCCAGCAGTGACATTTGATAAAGTAATTTTGCCAAAAACATCTTTTGCTCTATTTGCAAGCACAATATTTATCATTAAATATTTGTTATTGAGAGTTTTACAAACCTCTTGATAGTAGTGTCAATTGTATGCTGTACTTGTATTTTTCATGAGAAGTTCAACTCAATGACATCTTAATCATCTCTTATCATTAGCAACAAAAAGGACATTCTCTTTCATCATCATCTTCCATACAGTGCACATGGATCTGACCCTGTCACAGCTCTGGGGGTAGACAGTGGTTCTTATCCTGGATGCACACTAGAATCTGTGGACCTTTTGGAAAAAACTCTGATGCTGGCATACTATCCAGCACCACTCCCCAGCCCCTCACCCTGGCCCACTCCCAAGTCTCCCAACACACGCAACTCTTAGAAATTCTAGATGCAGAATCCAGGTATGATATTTTTTAAAGTTCCCCAAGTGATTCAAATGCACAGCCAGGGTTAATAACCACTGGTCTTTACCATGTAAATGGCAGAATTTCATCCCTGCCACGGTAGTGGGGTGAGATCAAAATAAAGTGAAAATCTTGGATTTTACTTGATGACTAGGGGAAGAGAAGTTCTCCTACTTTCACTGTATGTGAATGAAAAGACATAGAAGTCCCCTGGATTCTGGAAGATACCTTGTGACTACAAAGGAGAATAAGGCAGAGTGAAGAGTGAAAAAGAAGTGGGATCTTATGACAAATTGAATTGCTGAGTCAAGTCTGGCCTGAAGCTACCCTACATCTCTCTAGGCTTGATAAATAAGCCTGTTTCCATGGCGGGGCAGCCATAAATACAGATCACTCAGATCTACTTCAGGACAATTTAGAAACAGAGTTAATGACAGCCTCAGGTGCTGTCCCTTCAGATCCACGAGGCCATTTGTCCCCTGGGATGCTACCAGCCTGTGACTGAGCACAGTGATGGTATAAATGCTGGCCCATTCCTGTCAAATGCAGGCCTCCTCCAAAGGCATTCTCAGTTTGGGGACACCCCCTGGCCTTGCTGAAACCCTCTCTAAGCTATCGCATAATCTAGACTCTTCCTACTCAATCCTTCCTTCCCCCTCTCCTTTCATAGGAGTCAGACCTGTATCATGTCTGAAGGCTCTCCCTGCCTATGCCTGCTCTCTTCCCCTTTATCTTTCACAGGAGTTTACCCCTGTAAGTTCTCTGCACATCTAATCCTGTCCTCGCATTTGCTTCTTGGAAGATCTGAACTAATAAAGATGGATTTTCTATTACTTTTGCCAAAAGCATTCTGACTATATTATGTAGAGTATGGACTTGGCTGCTGTAATAAAAGCCAAAGTAAGAGAGACTTAGATAAAAATTTACTTCTCACTCAAGTAGTGTCCAAAATTGTAAGGCACTGATGTGGCAGTTCATGGTGTCAGGGACCCAGGCTATTCCTTTCTTTTAGCTGTGCCATTCTAAATACATTGGGGGCTGAGAAAGGTAGACTTTAGCTGCATGGCTTTGTCATCAACTACAACTCCACTACCAAATCAAGTAGGGAAGAACAGATATTAGAAAATGACTACTACCAATCTATACCACAATTAGTCCTTTACTATTTGGAATAAGTCAAAATACTTCATCAGAGAGATCAATAAGTTCTGTCTGAAAATTATTCAAAATCTTCAGCGACTCCATGTTAATATTAGAAAAAATTTTAAAACAGACAACATCAAGGAATATGACTGAATCCACTACGACTTTTTTAAAAAACACAATTTGGAAACAGTCACTGTCTTTTCTACTGCCATGTACAGACTTTAAAAAGATAATAATTGTTAAGAATATACTTTCAAATTTGAAATGTAAATCTGCTTTTCTCCTGAAATTATACAATCAGTTAACCCCACAAAAGCACTCAACTATAAAATGAAAAAATACCAATAATTCATGGGCCACACTTTGTAAAACCAGTGAAATTTTAATTCTAGAAATATATACTTAAGAAGAAAGAGACAGAAAAGAAGAAAAAAAAAAAAAGAAAAGAAAAGTAAAGAAAAAAACAAACCAGTATCTTCAAAATAAGTTAGTGAGTACCTGGAGTTGACATCTCCATGTCCTAGCTGCCCATGCTGCCCATAACCAAATGTATAGACATCTCCATTTTCCATCAAAACCACTGAAACCAAAATACATAGCTTTATTTTTTCCTTGTATGTATTTTATATTTCTATTACAATTACACTAAAAGAACTTCAATTTTCACTATTTAAAATATATAGAGCCATAAAATAGGCAACTGAAGCACAAATTTATATTTACTGAAAAGTAAATATAATTTTAGTTCTGCAAAATACTTTTGTAGGTCATAAAAATGCATAATGCTTTTCATAATGCATATTTTAAAATTCTTACAAATGTCATTTAGTAACATTAATAGTAACACATATTGGTTCAAGTCAACTAAAATCTTAATAATTAGTAACTACATATAAAATATTATTCTCCCATACCTAGGATAATTATAGATAGGAGATGAGTTAAGGCTCTTCACAATTATGCACTTGAATGAAATGGCAGAACTTTAATGTCTGTCAATGCCTTATCAAATATTCCTCAAAAAAAGGAATTTAACATTTTTTATTTTTACGAAGGTTAAACAGTACAACCTAAACTATCCAATCCAACTGTCAATAATTTACTAAGAATTTAATTATTTTCTACATTTAAAAAATAATTTGTTGATGCACATTTATCACTGAACATTAACAAAACATGGGAACATGTTATAAAAACCACAGCAATGTAGAATTGAAAGAGATTTCAGAGATTTTTTTCATCTTCAGTAATTTCTTGAAATGAATTATAAAATAAGTCTGTAAGAAGGCAGAGCGGAGGTCAGATCTCTGAACAAGTACCTGTTCCACCATGTCAAAGCTTTAAAAAAAGATTCTATAATAAATACAAAGCTCTTGCAGGTTTGAGAGCTATTGGCACGCTATCACTTTTAACACAAAGTTAAAAAATTACACTTGTCAAAAATAAATAAATTATTTAGCACAATTGTAAAAATGTAATTATACCCTAAAGTTCCAGCTGCTACCTGAATGGTGAAATCCACAGCTGACTTGGACTGCCCGGAGCTCACAGTCAAATCGCACGGAGCCTGGAGGATACGTTGTGATTTTGCTTGCATCCTTTTCTCCTCGCTCTCCACTTCCATCTGTAAATGTCATAATTTGTAATAAGCCATTATTCATCTTCAAAATAAAATTTCAAATCAGTTTACTATGGAAGAACAAGAGCAAACTGTTAAAAGGAATAAGGAAGAAGAACCTGCAGCTGTTAGAAGTGATAGATCAAAAGTCTACTTGCAAAGAAGCGATTTTGAAAAGATATATTGTGTATTTGTTTGCAAATATCACTAAATCAATAAAAACAAAGGTAAGACCTTGTTATGGACAAAACCTTATATAATGAAAACAGGTCAATAAGTTATAGAAACAAAATTTTAAATGTAATAGTTCATATGGGAAAATTTAGTTTGCATAAAAATAACTGCATGCAAAGTCATTTAATAATTATTTTAAACTTAGTGGTATTGTTAGTACTAGCATTTTTTAAAAAAATTCCTGGTGGACTCACAAATGACTTATATTCCCTAAACACATCTTAGAAAGGCTATACTGTCTACTACTACTGCTAAACTCAACTGAAATTTAAAAAACTAAAAAGACCAAAGAGCTTTATTCAACATATGGTAGTTCAACGGCTCACTTTTATTCATTGTTCCTGTCCCACCTACCTCTCAGCCATTCTGCTTTGTGGTCTTCTCCCTGTCCCTACCACTACTCTCAACTGAACCTTCTTTCTGCTTTCACTCCTTCTTTCCTCCTCCCTTCTTTTTATAATTTCCTTCATTAATTAAGCTTGCTTCAGGCCCTCTCTCCACCTCTGATTTCTACATTTGACTGTGAATTTTCTGGCAAGTTAACCACAGCATCAAAAACCACCCTTGAGGATATAAAAATTTTTGTTTGGAATGTGTAAACAAGGAAAACAACTTACTTTTCCTAACCAAAAATTATATATCACTAAAATATGACCTTTATTTCATCAAGATTCAAATTCCTTGCATGCAGAAGAAATGTAAATCTGGAAGGAATTTCAAAAGGTCAACTAGTCTAATCATTCTCTTGGTATAGCAACTCTAAACAAGTATGTATAACATGAAGATACATATGTGAATCTATGGTCACATACTTTTAAATTTGCATTTTCATTCCCTTTTAGAATGTTAAACAGAATAACATCAAATCATTTTATGTTCATTTTATCCTTTCTTTTTTATCTAACCTTTAGTAATATCCAGGTAGGACAAAGATGACCTAAATTATGACTTCCCTTTCTATAACTAAATGACTCTCTATCTCTTCGAAAAGCTTGAAACTCTTTATAACACTAGGACAGTAAAACCTCACTAATTCGGAATAACACAGCACACAGGTAGGCCCACGTGACTTACTGAAAAAGTCTTAATCATACAGAACATTTAGGTAAAAATTCAGTTTTGCTACCTTCAAGCAGTACAGATTCTAGATTAAACTAAATGCTAGAATAAATAAAACGTGGTTACCTACACTATATTTCAAAATAGACCAGTATTACAAAAAAAAGTACCATAAACATAAAAGTCCTTTAACATACAAGAATTAACTGCTGGACCCAGAGGTTGAAGGCACGTTGAAGGAATCCTTCATTCTTGAGCCCTTGGTTTGAAAAGCTAGTGATTTTAGACAGGTTTCCCCTTATAAGTATGACCCTGAAAATTCAGAGGAAGAAATTATTTTGAATTTTTTACTCAAAAAATATCATAAATACTGCATCTGAAGTATCATAAATTCTGAATTAGTGAGAGGTTTTACTATAATAGGATAAAGAATATGATTCCTCTTCTGCTAAATTATCTAATGTGGGTTTGTCAACTTAAATAAAAGAATGGATGGTCTAAAAGAAACAAAATAATCACTCCATCCAAAATGAAATATACTCTTAATTCAAAGCCTCTTCATGATGGAAAGACAGTGGAATGGTAAAATATACACAAGGGCCTACACACACAAAAAAACAAGCATCTTCCAAAGACTACTTAAATAAGACGCCAGATTAAAGAACTTTTATAGCTTTAAACTGGTAAAAACATCTAATTATTAGAACCAAATCTGATTTAACAAAAAAATTATGTTCATATGATTTTGCCAGACTTAACTAAACATTTCAAGTATCATTCCACTTTATATAAAAGTACTGATGCCTAATTAGAAGCTTTTACCTTTGAATTTAGCATTTTGTCCCTCCCTTGAGCCAGAGATTAAATATAGACACAAATCCCACAATAGAGACATAGCATCAGGGAAGGAGGAAAAAAAAGTCTAGTAATTCAATAAAACCACAATGACTAAAAGAGTAGTAGCTATTATTTAGAGGCCAAAATAATACTAGAAAGTTTCTTCAAATTCATCTAAACAACCTGTATCTATACAAAACAACTTCTCAATAATAGATGGTGCAAAAACAGGGATGAGGTTCTTGATCATTATCAGCAGCAGTCACAGAATTAAAAATATATATATCTGTGTCTGGTATTTGATGTTAAAAAAATTCAAGTACAATCCCAATAATTTAGAAATTTATAAAAGTTTATCAAAGAAAAAAGGTACTTAATATGTAGCCAAAAGTTTATTGCAAATTTAAGAATTAGCAAATGAAATTCAACAAGATTACTGAATAATGAGCTTGAGAAGAATTAAAATATTAATGAATAGCAATAAGAATTTTTGATCTGTATAAAAAATAATCTTATAACTGGCCATTTAAGTATGAGCACATCTGTATTTTCCCTATACATATATGAAATAGTTCCGTATCATATATATATATATATCTCATGTGATATTGAAACTATAATAGCTATAAAGTTTTGGCAGCTATATATCTAAAATATTTGGTGTATATACACATTATGTATGTATGTGTGTATGTAGTATACTTGTGTATACACATAAAGGAGAAAAGATTCAGTATCTAAGAGACTAAACTTAATTTTAACGTTTACTTAAATCTACACTTTTTTGGGTAATCTTATACATATCACAAAAACTATCACAGAACACAGTGTGTACTTAGCTAAATCATTTAAACAAAACAGCGGGAGCAGGAGCAGCTGCAGTTTACTAAGCACTGCTCTGTGTTAATAAAATACTGTAAAAATTTAAATGCCACAGTGGATAAGTGGTTGTGGGTACTGGAGCGTCAGGACTTAGACGGGAATCCTGGCTCTACCATTTGCTAGTTTATGACAACTGGAACTGGGTCTCTTAGTCTTAGTTTTCCCATCTATAAAATAGCAACAATGGTATATAACTCTCAAGGTTTTTATAAGGATTAAGTGAAACAATATACGAAAAGTGCTCAGTCAGTATTCACTATCATTGCTTTCTTTAATCAATATAGCAATACAATAATATACATGTTGTTTTTCCATTTTACAGATGAGGAAACTAAGGCTTAAGGGGTTAAGGAGTTAGGTAATCAGCCCAAAGTTAAAAATGGTAGAGCAAATTTGGAGCTTGATCATAAATAAGGCTCATACACTTTCACCACCAAATGGTTGACATCATAAATCTCTTGTAAAAATGAACTACACCTTAAAAGAATCTCAAAATTTTGTATCTTTAGGAAAATTCTAAAAGAGAAAGCAAAGAATTCAATTCAAAGTATTAAAGCTAGAATTCATGAAGGATTTCTATGGGCAAAGACATATAAATACATACATACACACACATATATCTTAATTGAATCTTCATAGCAACACAATCAGTTAGGAATCACGATTCTTGTTTTTAAAATAAGAAAACTGAAGCCAAAGAGATTAAGAAATTAATGCACAGTCATGCAGTTCTAGTAAATGACAAATTTAGGATTAAAATTGAGGCCTAATTCCAAAGGCTCCAATGTAATACTTCCATTATACCACACCATTTCCAAACAGAAAATGGGTAAAATACACCCAGATGTTTATCAGCATGCCTTTGGATTTTCACATCGGTCTCCTTAAAATAGATTTCAAGGCTATCTCCAGAAGAATTCAGATGTTTCTAACTAGGTGTACAACATTAAAATCTTTTTCTATGTAAGGTACTCAACAGCTAAAACAAGGGTTAATCCAGATATCTGTCCGAAATATAGTTATGGTCACATTTTAGAATAACTTACTATATTTTATATGGAATGCTGTTCATTGATTCAGCCTATACATTCTATTTTGCCTCTCTTCAAAATCTGCCTATACAGGATGGATTCCATGACCTTCTCTGAATTCTCCCCTACCAGCCAGAAGCTCTCCAACTTTCCATCTTAGAACTCACTACTGTTAACAACAAATCCATAGTTCTTACCCTCCAAACACCCACACAAAAAAGTTATAGTCTAAAAAATTTTAACTATTATCATTCTACAATTTGCACCAACATACTAAATGTAAGACAGAACACAGCAATTAATATTGTGAACTTCTCAGTGGACAAATTGGAAGACAAACAGGGTAAGAAAAAGAGAAACATGTATGTAGAAAAATATTTATTAAGACCATTAAAATATGTACAGGTTGAGTATCCCTGATCCAAAATGCTTGAGATCATAAGTGTTTCTGCATTTCATATTTTTTTTTATTTTGGAATATCTGCATACCCATGAGATATCTTGCGGATGGGACCCATGTATAAACACAAAGTTCATTTATATTTCATATACACCTCATGCACATAGCCTGAAGTAATTTTACATAATACAATACTTTTAATAATTTTATGCACGAAACAAAGTTTATGTTCATTGAACCATCAGAAAGCAAAGGTGTCACTATCTCAACCACCCATGTGGACAATCTGTGGTTGTCTGGCATCACCATCATACTGCATGCGGAAAAGATATATTGCAGCTGAAAGGGGATGGGAGGGTCTTATTTCCCTTAGGGATGCTAATAAACTGTGTGTGTGTGCGTGCACGTGTGTGTGTGCATGTGTATGTGCATGCATGCCTACATTTTGACTATAACCCAACACGAGGTAGGTGTGAAATTTTCCACTTGGGGGCGCCATGTTGGCACTCAAAACGTTTCAGATTTTATAGAGCATTTCGGATTTCGGATTTTCAAATTAGGGATGTTCAACATGTAGTCAGAGTAAAAGCAGTGAATGGAGGGATGATTAAATGACAGGACAGTGAATGTAAAGGGTTAGTAGGTGGACAGAAATTAGCGAGTAGCAAATTAATACTCTATAAAAAACAGTACCATTTGATAAATTATTATTTACATTGTAAATTCACTGTTGATGTAAAGAGATGAAACTGTCTCACTCTATAAAATATAAAATCCAATAAAAAAATGGACCTACACTGTAATACTACAAAGTAGGTCCTTCCAAAGAAGGTGCCACAAGTATACAAAGGGCCTTATTATAAAGTAACCCTGTGGCAGACAAAACTGAAGTAAGACTAGCTATTGTTGAATAATTTCTATAGCTAATCATTATGTAATACTGGAAAAAGTCTGCTTTAAATTTGTAACCTCAGTCTTCACTTAGCATTTCATTTAAAAATCTGGAAAAAGTAAATATGCTTGTCCATGGGACACTAACATGGAGCTGAAAAGATTTTAAAATGTTTCAAGAAATGTGAATATTTAACCTCAGGTAGTCTTGGGAAAACTCCACTTTCGTATATCACGGGGAGGGGAAGACACCAAAAAAATATGTTCTAATAGTGACATTAGTGGAAATCATAAGAGATCAGAGATTCTGGCAACAACTAGAACAATTTCATTGTATAACCCAAATGTTGTTCCTTAGACTTAAATATTTATGGCATTGTTAGAACACTCAGTAAATAAGGCAATCACAAATTTTACTATGGCTAATTACATTAGATTTAAAACACTCTCCACTTTTGTTTCTGCAGAATATATCTAAAGTTGTGCTCTCTTTTATTGCTTTTACTAAAAACAGGAGTTTTGTCTGTGTTGTTTATATTTTTGCTTTGAGTGGCAAACTGGAAGATTGAGAAAGGCAAATAAAAATAAAATTGATTATACTATATTGCATTGGTAAGTTGAAAAAAATTAACTGTAACAGGTTTGCAGCAAAAAAAGGATATGAACATTAATTCGAGTCATTTGTTTATATGGAATATGTGTATTTAAAACTTCCAATTCTATTTTGCAGGGCTTATCTTAAGCATAGAAAATAGCAACTGTAAGTTGTGCTAGCCAATGAACCGCCCCTAGTTCAAATGCCAAGCTTCAAAGCAACATTTATATATAAATTAATAAATTCTTTTCATCAATTCTGTCCTGAGCTTAGTTGATCCATAATTTGTTTAAAAGAAAATAAGCACACTTTAAGAATATTTTTAATTAACCTAGAACTCAGAGATCTCAAATAATAACACAGAAATAGATTCCTACTCCCTCATAGGCAAGGTTAGAACTCTGACCATTGCTGAGTACTAGAGCAAGTCTACATGACTAACACTTTGCTTGCACCTATCTTTACTTAACGGACAAATATCAAACATTTGAATATTCATGTATGTTGTATATATAAACTTTGATATTAAAACAGTGGAAAAGTGTAATGGCAATCTTATCACTTTATATACTGAATTTAGTAATTTTGTTAATTCTAAAGTATATAAACAGCACTCAAAAATTTTAAGAACGGATTATAAAATGCCAGATCACAGTCATCTAAGAGTAGCAAATAAAGGATAAAAAAAATAGAACACAATGATTATTTTTTCACCTTCCTTTATGAAATTTGAAAAGAAATGGAAAAGAAAAAGATACACTGTAAAATATCTTCTTTATTAAAGTTAACAACAAAAAAATGGAATAAGAAGCATGACAGTCACCGACAGTACCATTTTCAGCATGTTCTTTCTCCTCAGGCTATATAATAATGATAGAAGCAAAGTAGAAGAATTAGATCTGTACATTTTTCCAGAGACAAAATTCAAATGAGTGGAAGAAATTGGGAAAGTATCCCACCTAGTTGATAAGGAAGACCAAATACCTTTGTGCTTGTCCCGTTTATGCTTTAGCTGTGCTGGATGGGATCTGAGTCTGGCTAGAGCCTGTTCTCGATGGTTCATAAAAATAGGACCAGCAAATACAAGGGGGCCTGAGGAGAAACATTTTGTATGTGCATAGAAAAACTCACAAAATGAAAACACCATAATGAATAAAAATAATTCCAACTAAAAAGCATAAAAATGTATTCTTAACTGTTTTGGACATTATACTTTTATCCCACCCCA